GAACACAAGACCTAATTTTAAAAAAAATCCTAGAAATGTGGGAACATCGGGCTGTGGGAACATAGGGCTGACCCCTATGACCCCTAATGACAAATAAACTGGTAGCTTGTCAAGCTAAACCTGTAACACTTATTTTTAGAGATGTCAGGGAATAAGTTGGTGAGTACAATGTTATGACTTAATAAAAGCTTGGCAATTTTTACAGATGATTTGATTTGAGGTGTAAATAAAAATATGACTGTGACTGTGGAAGTTGGACAGGTCTAATTACAAGCTAAGCTTAATTACCTTGATATATATTGTTAATGAAAACTCACAATTCTCATATTTCAGCCACCAGTATATCATGGCAAAATGAATGGACTAAATTACAGTATGTCCCATTACTTAAAAGAAGAATTTATTAAGAGGATCAACTGAAAGTATTGAAAGTACTACTGATTTATACATTAGCAGCTCCTTCAAGTTGACCAAAATGGTGCTTTTCTTTTTAGGTCATATTTATTTTTAACCCATCACCATGTTAATTTTGTGACATCTCTTGAATATTAAAGCAAGATTGCCATATGTACTTCAATAGCTATAACACAAAGTATAATCGTTTGTATATAATGTAGATTGCTTATAGTCCCTATATGAAATGACTATATAACTTTTTATAATATTCAGTAGTTTACAGTAGAAGAGCATTTAATATTTTCCAAAACTCATATTTTACTCATATTTTATTTTATGCCTTGCCCCAATATCTCCAAGTGCAGGCTATCCAAACACCTACACAGTGGAGATCAATGAAGCATCTATATGAATTAGCATATCCATATCCTGCACTCTGTTGGATGCTGATGAGGACTGAGCCCCAGTCATGAATCAGTGAGCTGCTATTGCACTGTATAGGAAGCACTGTTTAGATTGAAGTATCCTGTTATAATCATCAAGGTGCGTGTGCTGTGAGGAACAGAGGCAGAAAGACTCATTTAGGTTTGTAAAGAAGACAGTATGACCAAATCAGAAAGCAATACTGTTCACTGACTGTGGGAAGTGGCAATTTGTCTTAACAGCTATAGTAAAAAAACAAAAACAAATACAGCTGCTTTGTGCTCATCATGGTGATACAAATTACACTGACTTGCCAGTTTATGACCTAGCTTAACCTAATGCAGCCTATATAACAGCCGTGCAGTAAATCCCAACTTCATTTTTTTGTGTTCATTTCCAAAGGTTGACCCCCAGCCAGATTAATCTATACATTAAAATATATCAGGGAGAGTAGCAGGGGCGGATCTAGAGGATGTCAAATGCTATCAAATTTGAGACATTCATTTAAATTAAGTTTAAAAATATTGTGTTAAAACAGAAATGAATCTAATGATCTGTTATTGCCACATAGACTCAGTGCTGGGTTTAAGTTCAACAATTAAAGAAAAATGTATTTGGAAAAATGTCTGAGGATTTGGAAATAAAACAACTTGATTTCTAATGCCACCTTTAGATATTTCTATTCAATGCTTAACTAATGTGGTAAGTGATGTAATGTTTTTGACTTCAAATATCTTCATTTGGGGGCTTTTCCAAGCAAATATTGATTTATGTGATTGATTAAATCAGCACATATTTATCTCACCCCTTAAAGCCACCCCATGAGTATTTCTCTAGATCCGCCCCTGGAGGGTAGATTTTAAGATTAGAAACTCCTCTCTGTTTTATCCAATACAATTCAACAGCAGCCCAAACTGCAGCCTCCAAAATGAGCATAAAATCAACACCTCTCTGAAATAAAAAAAAAAAGTTTGAACAAAAACATTAGAAACTTCATGAAAGTAGGATTTTTTTAAGAGCTGTTGTATCATACTACATTTATTTTAATAGTTTTAACCTTGTGTATATTTCCATTCTTTTGCCCACCTAATAAATTTATTTGTGTCTGAGGCTATTCAGAGACTGTACCTAGTTCACTAACACAGTACCAATTCTCCCCTTTCTAAAGTGATGTAACAATCTGTGTTCCTTACACGGCAGTGTTGCTTTGTAGATCTGCTTTAGAGCTGAAGCTACACTATTTGCACTTACCATGAATGCACAGAGAAAAAATCTTGAAAACTTTGGTAGATGCAGTTGTAGAGCAATGATTCTTGACTCTGACAATATCATACTGGAGCAGTTATTGTGTTACAGAATGTATGTACAGTGTCTGCAGTATTGCAGTGGTATACAATAGGAAAGGATTACAGTTAATGGGGCACTCCACAGATCAGGGTTATCTCAGCTTGGACTTGGAGACTACACATTTATGACCGCAAAAAAGAAAAAAATAGAGCGGTGAAGTTTACCAGGCAGGGTAAACAACTACTTTTGACAAAAAGATGCTATCCGTTTGGAAATGTAGGATCTTGTGTTTTTAGATCTTTATCCATACTAAGAACTAAAATTCAGAATATGTCTGACTCTGCTGCTGCAATTTGAACAATTGTTTTTTTTAAATCTGTCTCTTGTATGTCACTAACCTTTTGACAGTGCAATGCTACATTGCTGGAGTGCCCCTTTAAAGGCATTTATAGACAATAGACCCCTGTTTCAAATTTCAACCTGGGCTGTGGACAGATGAATGCACTATTTACCAGAAGCATGTTGTTGCTTACAGCACAGTGTATAGTGGTCATCCTGCTGTAGAAAAGTGCAGAGCAGTCAGACGTGTATGCAGCTTAATTTGGTCTGTTCCTCAAAACTGTTTGCTGGTTCCACAGACATATGTTAGTGTCTGTTCTTTTCATAACTGTAATCATGATCCAAAGTAATCCACTAGAGCCAAGTAATGCAGATTGAAACACTAGTAGTTCGCTTACAAAAATGTATTTTGGGCTGATTCTATTTATGATGGTTATATTATATTTTTGTAATGTAATTACAGAATCCCTTTACTGTGAGATGATACCGATTAGTAGAGAAATGTAGGAGTTCAGTGGTAATATGTAGGAGTAATGCTACATTACTGGCCAATGCTACAAGGGTCTGGATTCAAGGATGAAGTGAGAATATTTAAATGCTTTGTAAATGAGTTTTTTGTTAATGCAAACTTAAAAAATTATATATCTTGTACAGAAAAGGCTGCACATAGATTTATAGAGATGTATATAAAGTAAATGGTAAGAGGTCAGAGAATTTTGTTTTAACACAATTATGTAACTCCTCTGTGATGATGTAACTGCTAACATCTGTTGTGTGTTTCCCTTCCAGTGTCCTATCACAGCTGTCTCACCACAAACATATCCTCCAGAACAACTCACTAATTCCTGTATTGGTTCTTGCAATCTTTTTTTTTTTTTTCAAATGGCAAAAAGAGTGAAATACTTCCAAATATCCCCCAAACAGATTTCCTGAAGACACAATAAAAAAGTCTGATAAAAACTAAAGCAAAGATGTTATGTTGCATATTTGGTGTAAAGAAATTAGCTGAAAAGGAGTTGTTTTACCTTGGTAGAATACTTTTTTCATGTGTGTGGGTTCATATGACTCATGCAGCAACAAAACAAAAGCCTGGCCACCTGGTTTGTTAAAGCCCCCTCCAGTCAGAAACCAGTGTTTCTTCGTGTCCCTACAGTGTGATGTTTGAATGCTGTCTGTGCAGAGTTTGACTCTAGAAGGCTGTTTTTTACATTCATCTGCTGAAAGTGGAAAGTTTCTCTGTGCTTATTTAACATCTGATTTTAAGGGGCGGGGCCTACCAGCATGATTTGTGANNTGGAAGTCAGTCCTGTTCCAGTGTGCAACTTCTACAGTGTGATGTAGAAACCTGAAGCCACCAGTGCACATCCATTGAGAATGGACTTAGGAGACATCTTGTATCCAGCAGCAAAACTTTAGAAATTAGGTTTTAATGAGGTAGAACTATTTGTATACATGTATTAATGATAGAAACACTCTGCAGCCTCCAAAATGAGCATAAATTAGAATACAAGTCTTTTTAATAATTTTAATGTAGACACAAATTAATGACCCAAGCAGATTGTTTGTAGTATGTCTTAATACATGTTTA